TTAATTGCAAACATTTTTTTCCTCTTCCATTTTCGCCTAAAATCAACTCTTGAAAAGATACATAATTAAATAGGAAGAAAAATATGACATTTTTTGAATTTTTTTAACATATTGTGCCGCCAAAAATTAAGCCCACGTTGTTTTTTATGCACATAGAAAAATTTTCATTTCTAGTGATATTTGAAAGCCAAAAAACCAAAAATCTCCGTGGATATACGATTCACCCAAATATGGCTTTTTGAAACAGATACCGTCTGGACTATTAGCACTGTTTTGTGCATCGAATACAGACTCCATACTCTTAAGCGTTTTTGATTTTTCAGTTAAATAAACTAGTAGAACAACATTATTCACTACCATTACTTTTTTCTTCGATTCTTCGAAAGAATTATGTTTTTTCGTCCTTTTCCTTCATTTCATTCAAATGGAATGTTTTCTACGTAATATCTATGAATTTTTCTCGATTATTCATAGATTTATTTTTGTTTTTAATTAATGACAAAAATTTAAATATTTAACATATACAGGGTGTTTAGAAAAGTTGGTACAAAATTTAAGGGGGTGAAAGTAGAGCCAAAAATAGTATAGAAAGTTCCTATAAACATTGGTCCTCCGGAGCACCGTTACCGAGATATGGCCCTCCAAAGGGGTCCTATCATTTTGATATTTTTTAAAATAACTTTCTTTCTGATTAAGATAACGGAATGAAAATAGTACATAATAATCATAGCATAAGAGTCTTTAACTACCATAAGTTTCATCAAAATCGTTTATAAATAAGGATAGTTTTGTAACTACTCTTAACAGAAATTTTTCGATTTTTTTTAATTTTTTTGAAGCAAATTCTTCTCAAGCAAATAATAATATTTTTGAATTAATTGGATTTTTTTTGAAGAAAAAATGTATCTACTTTTTTTTCGAATTCTGCGTATTTTAGTCAGAAATATGTAATTATTTTTTAAATAATGTATGGCTCAGAACAGTAACTTTTTTTAACATTTTCACATAGTAGGCATCTTTCATAGTGACATTTTCATTGTAATGATAACTAATGTTTGTCATTTTCGCGTGCTATGATTTAAATTCTTATGTTTCTTTATTTTCCTATTATTGTGATTTTTGTGCTCAACTTAGCATTTCATTCGGTTTTTTTACAACCACGAACCAACATGCTTTTTCTAACCGTGAATATGCCGATATTCTTTTTGAGCCGCTAGACTATTTCCATTACAGAAACCATAAATAAAATGCATATCGGTATATTCACGGTTAGTAAAAGCATGATGGTTCATGGTTGTAAAAAAATCGAATGAAATGCACAGTTGAGCACAAAAATTACAACTAAGAAAATAAAAAGACATAAGAATTTAAATCATAGCACGCGAAAGTGACAATCGTTTGTATCATTACAATGAAACTGACACTATAAAAGATGCCTAATATGTGAAAATGTTTAAAAAAAGTTACTGTTCTGAGCCATATATTATTTAAAAAATAATTGTTTCTGACTAAACTACACAGAATTCGAAAAAAAAGTAGACATTTTTTCTTCAAAAAAGTCCAATTCATTAAAAAATAATATTATTTGCTTGCTAATTCGAAAGAATAAAAAAAAATCGAAAAATTTCTGTTAAAAGTACTTACAAAACTATCCTTATTTATAACCGATTTTGATGAAACTTATGGTAGTTAAAGACCCTTATGGTATGATTATTACCTACAATTTTCATTCCGTTATCTTAATCAGAAACAAAGTTGTTTTAAAAAATATCCAAATGATAAGACCCCTTTGGAGGGCCATATCTCAGTAACGGTGCTCTGGAGGACCAATGTTTATTGGAACTGTTTATATTATTTCTGGCTCTACTTTCACCCCCTTATATTTTGTACCAAATTTTCCAAACACCCTGTATACAGGCTGTTGCAAATTCGCTTCTCACTACAGGGATCACGGAAACGGTAAGAGGTACGAAGTAGCTCAAATGGGGGGATGGGGGCAAAGTTGCATAATCAGGGGACTATGCCTCTAAAAAGTCAAGGCTAACATGATTAGTTTTCGAAATGTTTGGAAAAAACCGAAATTTTGGAAATCCGTTTTTGTTTCATTTCAGCCTTGTTTGAGGTGATATCGAAAAAAGAAGTACACTCTCTCATAGCCACTTTATGTCCTCTATCTAATGGCATAATCAATGTTTATATGTAACGTTTCATCTCTCCAGGACCATCATCAGCCTCAGTTTTTTAAATACGACCCTGGAAATTTTATTACAATTTTGGCAAGCCTTGAAGACTCCCAATACTGTATTGCCTCAGCCTGAACCAGATTCAGACGTTTTGTCTCGAAAAATCCATCTTCAATGTATTCGTTCGTTAAAAATAAGTCAAAAAATGTTAAAGCTTCCTTGTATCTAAATATAACCAACCGTTTTCAAGGTAATCGACATCATTTTCTAAAAATTTTGACAGATGCAAGCGTTTCGAAAATTCCTTAATATCTTTCTTCGTTCAGGAAGCTTTCACTTGCTTTACGGAAAACTCAAAAAACATAAGATGGACTACCTTTCACTATCAAGTTCACCTGAAGAAAACCAACCATTTTTTTTACGTTACATTTTCAAATCTTAAAACTGACAAAACTTTTTAAATTCAAATGGAACACCCCTTATTTTTTTTGCACCATATTATAGAAAGTCAAATTTTCTTTTCACCGATATAAACATTGGGGGGGTTACAGTTTCGATTTTCTTAGATATTTGCGGTTTTCTTCCATTCTCAAGAAAAAATATTATTAAACATTAAAAATATCATCAAATGTGCTCTGAAAGGCAAATATTGGTATTGCCAATCGGTATTACCCAGTGGCAGTGGCATACCTTTTCATACCAATTATTTCTTGTTTGTTTTTGTATTTTTGAACCTTTTCACATCAAACAGTTAAATTTAAAGGAATTAAAGACGTTTACTCTTCCAATTATTAATTTACGGAAACTTCCGCAGCTTCGCTGCCCCCGGAGCGCCAGCTGGCGGCGGCGCATAAGCTCATCGCCATGGGCGTCCGAGAGGGGCACATCGCCGAGGACTACCACCTGGTGGGTCACAGGCAGGTGAGGGAAGGCACCGAGTGTCCGGGAGAGGTGCTCTACGAGGAGATAAAGAAGTGGCCACACTACGACCCTCACCCGGACTACGTGGACTTGTTGAAGAAGAAGAAGGGAGACGGCTCCAAGGCGACGCCGCCCGACGAACACAACAGGCTGCAGAAGGGGACGGCGCCCTTCATCAGCAAGCTGCTTTAGTTAGTACAAATTAAGTGGGAAAATGTAACCGAAGCTTCTTCTGATCAAAACAGAGAAAAATGCTTATGTAGCCTTACGGAGTTTTTGAGAAAGCCAAATACGGTTATAAGCTTATTTTTGACATAAAGCAATGGGGTTGCTAAGAACACTTCAAATAGTTTTTTCTCTTGCTTATACGAGAACTTGAGAAAAGTAGACATAGGTTTTAAAGAATAAAAATATTTAGTTTAGTTACAAATTCAACAAAACAATAAAAAAGAAGTTTGATTAGAACAGAATAGCTCAAAATATGCATTGTGTACATTAAATCTGCTGTAAAATATTAAAATGAATTTATTATTCTCAAGAATTGTCCATCTTATCGATAAACAAGAATTTGTTACAGAATATAGACATTCCAAAAAACATGGTTTAAGGTATTCTTGGCGATCTCTAAGTTTTCCTCCATGTCAAGTTTTATTGACATATTTTAAAAAGTGACACAACTACCGTAAACAAATTAAAAAAAAACCCTTGGTACCTTTCTAAGCAAGCATTTTGGTACTGAGGAACCCTCAATTAATTGATTCTTTGTCTTGGTTAGAAAAAACTTTGCTGTTTTTTTTAAATACGATGCCCTGTACAGGGTGATCCATAATTCTCTTTTTATTGCATATTTGTCTTTATACACAAGTAAAAAGTACTGCGGAATCAGAATATACTATCAGAAAAACACCTGAACATTAATTAAAAAAAAATATCGCAGAGAAATAATAATCAACAAAATAGAAATTTTATAAGGCAATATCGAGAAGTCGGAAGTTGAGCAAATGTGTCTTTGGAAAATTTTATTTGCAAAAAAAAATTCAAGATGTTTTTTTCTCAATAAATTCAGTTTTTCGTCGATGTTCAGCTGCTTTGCATCTAATCGTACGCTATGATTCCATTGTACTTTTTACATTCGACTACTGTCCGGAACATTTTCAAAATTGCAAAACTTTAAAAATTTTAAAAAATACCTATTTTATCTGAGTTTTTTACTTATATCTTGAAACCTATGCACTTTGGAAGAATATTGAAGAGGAAGAAAAGTTTTAGAATTGAATTTTGCGCAATATACTGTAAGTTAAAAATGTTTAAATTTATTACCGATGTTGTAAAATAGCAATAAATTGATGAAAAAACGGCAAAATCAAGTTTTTGGATAATTTTTTAAAAATATTTATTTTAATTGCTCCGAGGGCATTCTAATTTTGGTAAAAAAAAACTTTAGAGTATAATAAAATAATACACCAAATTTCATTAAAATCGGCTAGATAGTTTTCGCAAAATCATTTTTTGAAAAAAAATTTAAATTTTCGAATTTTCAAAATGTTGCACAGCCTCAAATAAAGCATCTAGTCTAGATACTTAAATATTTTTACACATAGAAAAGACCGCTCAACCTTTCAAATGGTTTTTGAAAAATTGAAATCAATTGATTAGGACCCTCCTAATTAACCGATTTCAATTTTTCAAAAACCACTTGAAAGGTTGAGCGGTTTTTCCTATGTGAAAAAATTTTCAAGTATCTAGATGCTTTATTTGAGGCTGTGCAACATTTTGAAAATTCGAAATTTTTTTATCAAAATTTTTTTCAAAAAATTATTTTGCGAAAACTATATAGCTGATTTTAATGAAATTTAGTGTGTTGTTTTATTATACTCTAAAGTTTTTTTTACCAAAATTAGAATGCCCTCGGAGCAATTAAAATATTTAAAAAAATATATCCAAAAAACGCTTATTTTGCCTTTTTTTCTTCAATTATTGCTATTTTGCAATATCGNTTAATAAAATAATACACCAAATTTCATTAAAATCGGCTAGATAGTTTTCGCAAAATCATTTTTTGAAAAAAAATTTAAATTTTCGAATATTCAAAATGTTGCACAGCCTCAAATAAAGCATCTAGATACTTGAAAATTTTTTCACATAGAAAAGACCGCTCGACCTTTCAAATGGTTTTTGAAAAATTGAAATCAATTGATTAGGACCCTCCTAACTAACCGATTTCAATTTTTCAAAAACCACTTGAAAGGTTGAGTGGTTTTTCCTATGTGAAAAAATTTTCAAGTTTGTGCAACATTTTGAAAATTCGAAATTTTATCAAAATTTTTTTCAAAAAATTATTTTGAGAAAACTATATAGCCGATTTTAATGAAATTTAGTGTGTTGTTTTATTATACTTTAAAGTTTTTTTACCAAAATTAGAATGCCCTCGGAGCAATTAAAATATTTTAAAAAAATTATCCAAAAAACGATTATTTTGCCTTTTTTCATCAATTATTGCTATTTTGCAATATCGATAATAAATTTAAACATTTTTAAGTTGCAGTATATTGTGCAAAATTCAATTCTAAAACATTGTTCCTCTTCAATGTTCTTCCAAAATGCGTAGGTTCCAAGATATAATTAAAAAACTCATTTTTTAAAATTTTTTAAACATTTTTGCAATTTTGAAAATGTTCCGGACCTCGCCCAGATCTAGGGATCTACACTTTTATTATGTGAATTGTACTGAAGGTAATCCAGAAAAAATTTGCTTGCCCTCTCTCACATCCACCACAAAACAGATCCGCCCCTGTAAATACGTAAATCGCAATAAAGTGGGAATTATAGATCACCCTGTATAAACAACCACTGTGCCTTACGTTATTTTGACCGCAAAGCAAATTATTGTACGAAATAAACAAATTAAAGGAAAAAAAGGTAATTCGACAGGGCTGGTTCACTGATGTCAAATTCTAGAAAGGTACAGTGGCAGGAGAAGCCTTAACCGGTTTTATTTTAGGGAATACTGTGTCAAAGTACAAAATGTTAGTTTTTAGGAAACAGATACGTTCCTCAGTACATGTACAAACGCCAGTATTATTATATGTATACATATTAAACTATAATTACTATTAACGTTAAAATTTAACATTCAAATATATGTCAAGTTGTCCCGTACACGTTCTACCAGGGACGGTCAGCATATCTACAAGGTACGCGGTTAAACAGACAAGAAATTCATTAATATACGTACATAGAGTGTACCGTTTTAATTAAATAAATGTTACGGCAGTGTATTGGCATTAATAATAATAATGACCATCTCAATAGATCCGATATTAACTGACCAAGGTAAAAAAAACAAAACTGGTGTGCAGATATTAATAAAATACAAGGTGACATCTAATGAAAAAGCTCGATGTATCAAAGGTAAAACCAAGGTTGCGCCTCTGTCGGGCGGTTGAGAAATCTGCTTTCGAATTCCGGTTTCCGGTCTCTTTTAGTATACAGGGCGGTGAAATAAAAAACAACTACCCGGGAATAATTTGGCAAGTTATCGTTTCTTGAAACCCGAGAAGAATTATTTGCGGTTTTAAGTGCAAGTTAAACAACTTAGACGAATTTGACAATTTAAATAAGACAGAAAACATTTTTTAAGAAAATTACTGACATTACTGTGATCCCCCACATTGAGCATAAAAAACTGTCAAGATTGTAATCTTAAATTGTGTTTTCGTATAATTAATTCTACAAATTATGTTTCAAATAGTACATTTTTTGTGCAATATGTGTTAAATAAATTATAATTAGTAGTATTTTCCATATAATTATAAGTAAACATAATAATGCTACAATTGTCGATACAATGTTTTGAAAAATGTAGTTTTTTAAAATCCGAAAAAAATATTATTGAGATTCTCTATATTGTACAAAAAAACTGTCGCAATTGTATTTATTGTGTTATTTATAAGATACCTTTTCCTATAATTTTAGAAGAGAATGTAAAGTACTTTTATTTTTATTGTAGTAAAATTTACTAATATTGAATTCTACAATTTATATCTACCTCTGTATTTGTAGTAGATAAATAATATATCTATAGCGTTTAAAAAAATACACATACTATAGCACATTTTTGTGGTTTTATTTAAAATTCTTTATAGAAAATTTTCAAAAAAATTGAAACCTGACTTGACCACAAGCAGGCTTTTGCGCTTTTAACATCATTTTAATACTGTTTCCTAATACTCCAATCGAATTATATCATAAAATCTGAAAACTTCAAATAATAATTATTAGTAGACATTTTATAGCACTTTATGACGGGTAGAATGATAATTTCCAAAAAGTAACTCGGAAGAAGTGGCGCTAGGTTGGCAAATTGCAAATAAGTATCACTTTTTGTGACTGCACACGAAAATCTAGACGACCTATGGGAATATTAGTTATTTCATGCTTTAGGCAATTAAATTACCTACAATTGAAGGTCATCTTTCACCAATTTGTTACCTGTAAAATAAAGGTACAAATGGAAAAATCAGTTTTCGAAAATTCATTATTATTGCAGAGAGAGATGGATGTTGATGTTTATGGAAATAATGGTCAAACCAATGATCAACATGTGTGCCAAAGGCCGACTCGAATGGTCTATTGACTTTTTCTTGTACCATTAAAATTAACAGTTAAGGAGATGATTTCAGAAATTTTAAAAATCATAAGCAGAAAAATTAATGAATTCTATAATTGTTTTTTTTTTTTCAAACTACAAACTACAAACAAATGTAAACTATCTTTTCAGAGAAATAGATATATTTTTTAATTTTCAATAACAATTTCACAAAGCAAACGCGATTTTTTATGTTTGTCGTAAAACAAAATGGCTTAGAAAAAATAGTTTCAGAGTTAAATCATAAAAATTAACGATTAAAAAATTGGACGTATCGGATCGCGATTTTAGAGACAATTATAGAAAGGGTTAAACTTTTATTTTCAGAAAGCTATACATTGATATTGACAGTTCATGTAATATACGCGCTCTATTTAACGCAAAAAGAGCAAATTCCCGAGCGGCTTTTGCCTGACCCTGGGACACTTTGTTTATAACGCTGTTTTGCACATCCTACTTTGTTGATTGTAAAGGGCTATTTCGTTTCAACTTTCTGAAATTTTTAATAAAATGTCTAATAATATAATTTTTTCACGTTCAAACTAATTCGACTGGAGTATAAATTCCTTTGTTAACTGTGCACTTAAATATTGTCCATTAAAACTTATATGTATGTGCATAATCTGCGGAACACATTTTTTTCAGTACCCCAATGAAAATTCTATAAACTTTACTAAAGTTTTTCAACAATGTGGCTGTAAATACACAATTATGTGTGTCTTTTAGCAAAATATAACTACAGTAAAGATAAAAAAAGTATATACAATATTCCAAACAAAATTTTTAAGTAAAGTGTAATAATTTGTAGCGATATTTTCTACATAAATTATAATCAACAACGCTACAACCGTATAAATTTGTAACAGTTTTTTTTTTTTTCGTGCAGTTCTAAGCACCCCGAATATATTTTCTAAGGATAACGACTCGCTNATTCTGTAAACAATAAGAAACAGATAGCGATGAAAATATTAAACCCATTAGAGTATAATGAACCAAGTACATCAAGCGAAACTGTAAATATTGATCCTGAAAATAATTTAATCGAAGACTTTTCTGTTAATAATGGTGGTCAAGACATAGCAGCGTTGTTTTTCGTTTTTTGTGAGAGTAGGTTGTTTACTGTCATAGTGACACATTTTACATATTTTCGAGTCCGATAAATAAAAAAAGGACCTACGAACTGCGACTCCTGCAAGCCTGTCAGATTGCTTCCCAAGTTATATTCCTGCTCTAATACAAAAATACAGTCCACTAACAAAAAGGGTCTTTCATTAACAAGACAAATGGTACAACTGTTAACACTGAAACTGAGAACCTTATTACAAGTAACGTATTCAACGACAGAACTGTAAACTTTGAAGAAAAGACAGCCAGCAGCGCTTTAAATATCAACAACTGTACCATACAAAATTGCACGTTTAATATTCATGTTAATAAATAAAGTTTGATGATAGACATGTAGGTAATTTAGATGTTTATTCGTTTAATTCAAATTAAAGAAAAATACTTAATTGTTACATTTGTTTTTTTATTCATGAATAAAATGGTTAAAACTGTCATGTTTAATTAATCAATAAAATGTATAAAATGTATAAAATCTATAAAATAAATAGCATTACATATCTACTGATTTTATTTTGTGCTGAGATTGAACATCGCGTTATCCGCTATAAATTTTCAAAATTAGTAATTTTTTATATTCACGCTCGGCTAACGCCTCGGCGAGCAAACTTTTGGGCTCAACACATAATGATCGCCTTCTACTCCTAGTAACATAATATACTATTTCTTGTACCATTAAAATTAACAGTTAAGGAGATGATTTCTGAAATTTTAAAAATCATAAGCAGAAAAATGAATGAATTCTATAATTCTTTTTTTTTTTTTTTTCAAACTACAAACTACAAACAAATGTAAACTATCTTTTCAGAGAAATAGATATATTTTTTAATTTTCAATAACAATTTCACAAAGCAAACGTGATTTTTTATGTTTGTCGTAAAACAAAATTTCGAACACAACTTTTCATTATTTTAAATAATCAATCTAATGGCTTAGAAAAAATTATTTTAGAGTTAAATCATAAAAATTAACGATTAAAAAATTGGACGTATCGGACCGCGATTTTAGAGACAATTATAGAAAGGGTTTTATTTTCAGAAAGCTTTACATTGATATTGACAGTTCATGTAATATACGCGCTCTATTTAACGCAAAAAGAGCAAATTCCCGAGCGGTTTTTGCCTGACCCTGGGACACTTTGTTTATAACTCTGTTTTGCACATCCTACTTTGTTGATTGTAAAGGGCTACTTCGTTTCAACTTTCTGAAATTTTTCTTTTTCGATACGTTTCTTTGGACCAATTAGAACCTATATCTACGATATTAACTTCTAAAATTAATGTTTAGTAATTAAACAATTAGCAAAAAAAACGATCGAAATTAATTAACAAGTATCTGGAGCAATAATTTTACAGTCAATCGAATCGGTCTTTGCCACACATGTTGGTTACNCTTGACACGCAAAATTACCAAGATATTTTAATTCTGCGGGTGTCATATGAAAGAGAAATACTTCTTTTATTGGAAGAAATTATTTTATTACAAAAAAATTGTTTTTTACCACTGCAAAAAGTACCACAAAAACACTGTAATTTTTGTTTTATAAACAATTAGAATAAATTTGTTGCACTGCAAAACTTCTCAAGAATTTTGTCGGATAATAAGATACTTTCATTTCAAATCTTATTACCAAACCCTCCCAGGAAAATCAGCTTGCTGCATCAACCATAATGTCACCAAATATGTCGAATATTTGGGTTGGGGGACAAGCTCAAAATACCAACATTTTTGTCGGACAAATTTTTTGGGGGGTTTAAAAAAAATATATCTTTCATTTAAACTTAAAAAAAAAGTGCTGGTCATAACATTCCATGTTTATGCCAGATTGACATGTTTTCCTGAAAATCACGAGAAAACTTACCACTGTTGAATTTTCCTCATAGTCAAATCTTGGGAGACTCGTCAAACTTAAGCTGCACGCAAAGTTACAGCTTGCTGGTAATAATGGTAATCATTTTTTTCTTTGTACTTGGGTCCGTGGACTACTAACTTTACAATCTAAAATCATGAGGTTCTGTAGTTTTCCCCACGTTTTTTTGTACATTTCATTTCACTTGTACTTTACAGTTGTAAGTTAAAGGATTTTCAGTTTAATTATGCACAGAGATACTTGTTGAGGAGAAATCGGATCAGAGGAGTGACGACGAAAGTTTTCACATGGAGCGACAAAATTTTATTCACAGCGGCAATAAACACTGCGCTTGAACGGATTCCAAATTTATTTAAATTCTCCCAAAGGCTAAAAATAAGAGTTATATCCACTCGAACAATGTAGCCGCACTCAGACTCGACGGCGTTACGAAACGGCACACCGATATCGACACATCGACCATAATTTTTCCCTTGGGTCCCATATTTCGCTATTATATTTAAACAGCGTCGACATTTAGGCCGTCGTCCAAGTAATTCGGATTGTTTTCAACGAAAATACGTTTTAATCTCACATTTAGATCGCTATGTTTTTAATAAAACGCATTTTTAATGTCGGATCGATATTAAAAATTTGGACGGGTTCCCGAAAGCGTGGATACATTGCAGCCACATGACGACGTCATTCACCAACTCTGCCTACGCGAATACTGAGGGGCAGGTTTAACACAGAGAACGAAGAAGAGAAAGACAAACATGCTTTTACTGTAATGCAAAAAACGGTTATTAAAAAGATGTATCAACCTGTGGTAAAAATTACCTTCAAGCACATATCTGAACAGTTTGAACTAATCAACTGTTTGGCTCACCTTATCTTTTTTTTTTTGGTTCATCCTATACACTATTTTCCACAATAACGACGAATAGACCAGGCAAATTAAATTTTTACTCGAAAAAAGTCCTATCCGCGAGATTATTGTAAAATTGTCTAAAGGAACATAATACAAGACATCTCTCGTCTCGCGAGTCAAAAACTTTTATTAGCCAACTTTTCTATTTAAACAAATAAGTGAGGAAAACAGTTTTTTCACTTAGCAGGGAAAACCATCAATTTTAGCGAAAAGTGACTCCCAGACAACTTGTAGGGAATAAAATTATCTACAAAATGAGACTAATTAAATTAAATTGTTAATAAACAAAAAAGTTATCGCAAAAAAAACAAGAAAAGTGCCCATTCTTTAATTTGTTTATAACTATCGCATTTATTGTTAAAATTTCATAAAACCTACGACAAGTTGAGGGTTTTGTCATACTTTAAAAGTGTGCCAAAAGTGGGCGCTGTAGGTGCAATAGTTTTNGTAATAAAATGTCTAATAATATAATTTTTTCACGTTCAAACTAATTCGACTGGAGTATAAATTCCTTTGTTAACTGTGCACTTAAATATTGTCCATTAAAACTTATATGTATGTGCATAATCTGCGGAACACATTTTTTTCAGTACCCCAATGAAAATTCTATAAACTTTACCAAAGTTTTTCAACAATGTGGCTGTAAATACACAATTATGTGTGTCTTTTAGCAAAATATAACTACAGTAAAGATAAAAAAAGTATATACAATATTCCAAACAAAATTTTTAAGTAAAGTGTAATAATTTGTAGTGATATTTTCTACATAAATTATAATCAACAACGCTACAACCGTATAAATTTGTAACAGTTTTTTTTTTTTTCGTGCAGTTCTAAGCACCCCGAATATATTTTCTAAGGATAACGACTCGCTATTACTTAACTGCTTAATTAACAGCGTCGTCCCGCGCGTTCTGCGCGATTACCAGACCCGACGCCGTCGATTTATCCCACACACAGAGTGTCAAATTTTTCCGTTCCCCATTAAATTTTTTTCCTATGCAAATTCCGTTCCCGATGATTTTTTTTTCTCCATTTCGACCGCCGAAGAAGCTCGTCCCAAAGCGAAATAAAGGAGCCCACGGAATGCTTCGAATGACTAGCGACGCTCCGGGCGGCGGAGACGCGTCACGGCGCTTCCCGAAATAGCCGCAGCTATTTCTGACATACGCGCCATTCTGAAAATGCGTCTGCTCGGGAAAATCAGTCAGAAAACGCGAAAATCGCAAGCGAGACGCGACGCGCGAGAGTTGCCGAGTCCAGCGACGACTTTTTCGAAAAAAAAAAAAAAAATCGCCACCGCACAGCTAAATGACCACCCCGATACCGAAGTGTCTCGTCAGTAGTCGCAGCAGCGTGAAATAATCCCTTAGGAGTGCGCAACAGCCTTGTGCGCGAAGTGTATACCAGCAATCAAGTACAGCCGGACTTGGTAACGTTTTTTTTTTTCTTACGATAATTTGTCGATAGAGGTAAGTGGCTCGGCTTGTAGGTTAGGGTTATATAACGACACACACACACACACACTTACACAAAAATAACAAGATAACAACTAGTCATCCCGACAACCCACGTACCAGCGGCTGTTTTTTTTCGAAGTAAAAATAAGTATGGCCTCACTTTCATAATAACACTCGTAGAAGCAAAAAATGCGTGGCAAATACAATTTAATTTAGCCGAAACACCTTTATAGGTTAAAAAAAAGCTGTCCTTCCTTCCTCGAATCAAAATATGAAGTATTTTTGTCTTCTCCCATCAACACCAAAACTGAATCAAAAGCTTTGACGCCACGAGTTCCACTTAAGTATTTTTGTGAACTTTCTGTTTAGGTTGTTCCATCGTCATTTTCGCAGCGTGGGCACAGAGTGTATTTTTTTAGTGCACGCGTCACGGTGCGTAACACCCAAAAAAAACCGTAACCGGATATTAAAACGTCACTGACAACTGTCACGTCGTCGTTATTTGCTTGTTTTTATTTACAAAGCCCACTGGGGCTCTCAAGAGAACTCACGTCTCGCAGCAGGACACGAATCTGGTAGAGCCCGCAGGAAACGCCCTAGAAACAAAAACGTCCCTTTTGAAGTGCAGCAGCCAGGCAGTCCAGTCATTTGTTAGACATTTGACGAATACAATCTTAAGAGTATCAGCGTATTCTGCGTTTTTCAAGTGGTTTATAAATAGACCCGACACCTGGTCTATTTCGGGAATCCGAAGTACATTGAAATACCTACCGGATTATAAAACATTTCTCCGAAACAAAAAGAAATGCAACGTCGAGGAAAAACAAGCGAATGAAAATGAAGTTGGCAGGTAAACTCCCAGCGTCAGTCAACTAGAGTTGGTGGAACTTTGACCAAAACTAGTTGCAGCAACTCATCATCCGGCTAGAACACCGGATCTGAACACATCGATCTCCACCGTTCAAAAAAAAAACCTAAACCGAGCCTGAAGTAAATATTTTCCCAGGACGACGATCTCTCGTATATTGGATATCCGGATATCCTTAGAGTCAGCTGTTTTATAGATAAACTAAATTTCTCGGGACAAAAATAAACACAGCATGGAGGTTTTACGTACTTTGAAAATAATTCCGACACGGCAGGCTCTCCCCGCAACCAAAATCGTAAAAATTTATTGAAACACGTTCGCTATGTAGAATGTCAATATCACGTCGTGAATGGTCGATATTAAGTCGTGGACTATCAATATGACTTCACGGATCGCCGAAGTAGTCAAAATTCAGTAAAATATATTCGTAATTATATGAACGTCAATATTACGTCGCGGATGGTCGATATTTCGTCATGAAATATATGGTTCGTCAGTACCACGTCGCAAACAGTCGAAGATATGTCAATATTACGTGGTGGACCGTTAGTAGCACGTCATGACCTTCAAAGTAAATCAAAATCCGATAAAAAAACATTCATAAAAAGTTTTTCTGAATTGGATAATTCCCAAACGGGCCCTATAGTCCACGGGCCCACGTACAAAGAAAAAAATGATTACCAGCAAGCTGTAACTTGCAGCTGTAACTGCACTTTGCGTGCAGCTTAAGTTTGACGAGTTGACTACGAGGAAAATTCAACAGTGGTAAGTTTTCCCGTGATTTACAGAAAAACAAGTCAATCAATAAACATGGAATGTTATGACCAGCACTTTTTTGTAAAATTTAAATGGAAGATATATATTTTTTAAACCTCCCAAAAAATTTGTCCGACAAAAATGTTGGTATTTTGGGTTTGTCCCCCACCCCAAACATGTCGATTTGGTGACATTATGGTTGGTGACAACCAGCAAGCTGATTTTTCTGGGAGGGTTTGGTAATAAGAATTGAAATGAAAGTATCTTATTGTCCGACAAAATTCTTGAGAAGTTTTTGCAGTCCGACGCCCCGAAGATGTCGATTTAACGACAACATGGTTGGTGATAACCAGCAATCTGGTTTTGATTTTTTTCTCTAATAATTGAAATGTATAACACAATAATATACTTGTCCGCCAAAAAGATTGGAAAATTTGCCTTAAAAATGG